AAGCATTCATAAGGGGTTTTGGATCTTTTCAATTTGGATTTTTTAAACTTGTCGTTATGTTTACGTTAAAAAATATAGTAAGGATGAAATGGAAAAAAACTTCGGCTTCAACAGCCGTTTCTAGTAGTTCATCGGGACAAATGTCTTTAAGTAGAGAGCAAGCAGAATCTTTTGCTGATCGACTTGCTGATAGAGTAGAAAGAAGTGATGGACAGTATGAACTTGATGCCTATATCCGACAAGGAACTGAGTCGCATGGCACTCCTTATACTCAACAAGGATGAGTATATAGAAAAAGAAGTTAGGAGGATAAAAATAAAGTATGACTAACATTCAAGAATTTAAGAACAAACTTCAAGAGTATCAAGAAGGCACTGATTATATCTATGATGAAAGCAAAAAAACTTATATTATTCGTCATGGAGAACTAAAAAACACCTTTTGGGGAGATGCTTCTAATGAGGTTGAATATAAAGCAATAGAAGATAGCAGAGGAAATATGCAGTTTCAGAAGTCTGCTATCTTTCGTTCTTCCAAGGAAAAGAAAGAAGGAGTCGACCAAGCTCCTTTTGTTCATTCTGTCGAAAAAATGAGGGACAAGCAATGGAAAGAGAAAAATTTGGGTAATTTCCCAAAAACAATTCCTACCTTGCCTCCTAATTCACAAAATGAGAAAGATAATTCTCACCAAACGGAAGCAAATTTTCCGGAGGAAATTGAAGAAGAATTTGGCTATTATAAGCAATGAGAAGGATGAGGTGAACCATTTGAGGAACCCACCAATACTGTTTATCACTGAAAAAGAGAAGGAGATACTATTACAGAAAAGAAAAAAGTTTGAAAAGATAACAATCAAGTCCCTGTTAATCCTCAAATAACTGATATTTCTGATGATATGGAAATAGAAGAGATCCAACGAACCAACAAAAGTAAGAAAGTTGAGACCAAAGCGACCGAAGCCGAAGTTTCTCAACAACAAGTCCAGAAACAACAATTTTATAAATGAGTTTGAGAATAAAGGAATGGCAGAATTAGTTAACTTTTCGTCGTTACTCACTGGCTTGAGAAAATGAAAAAAATAAATTAATGACTGACAACATCCAATGACCCCAAAATTGACCCTGGGTTTTAATAATCCCTCTTTATGTCTTTATTGCTTGATTCTTATTTGGGTTAACGGTGGCTTTTTATTATTGACTCAAAAAAGATAATGAGAAAGCAAAAAAATGATTTTGGTACTCCTTGGCAACTTTACTGGTTGTCGCTTTTGCTGGTTGAATTTGACATGGCGTAAAAAGCGGTCGGTGGTTCAGACTATAATTAAAAAAAAGTAAAGAGACCGCCAAAAAAGTATTAAATGCTTTCCTAGAAACTGTTAACAGAAATTAATTCAAGCCAAGTAAAGAGAGATAATTTCTCTATAATATTCTACCCTAATTTATAACCAGAAATTAATTGAATAAAGGCTTTTTTGCGCAATTTAGTATAAAATTTTCCTGGAAATTTACGTAATAAACTAACTTTTTGTTTGACTGGTTTTTCTCGGCAAGTTCTAACTTTTTTTACTTTGACTTTGTAAAATCACTCTATTGCTTGCTTAATTTGAAATTTGTTGGCTTTGGGATGAACATAAAAAGAGTAAATTCTTTCTTTTTCTTGTTGCTCTTGGCTTTTTTTGCTTAAAACGTATTGTTGAATTATTTGTTCTTTAATCATGGTTATTTTTTAATCTTTTCTCCGTTTCATTAAAACTTTCTTGCGTGAAAAGCAAAATTGAATGAGTTATCATTGAATAAGTATTAACTAATTTGCTACTAGTCATTGCCACTTTTGGTAGATTACGAAATGCTCTTTTTACTTCTTCATTTTTGCTTTCTTGCATAGAAAAGATGATCAAGACTTTTTTTTCATTTAATTTTAGTTGGGTGAGTAGTTTATTTGCCTCTTTGGTTTTGTATTCAGAAAAACTTATTTTGTCAATAACCATTATTTCTCCTTTTTCATTTTTTTTACTGAGTGCTGACTGGAGAGCTTTTTTTCTTACTTTTTTATTGACTTGACAATGATAATTTTCTTTGCCGGTAGGTCCATGAGCTATTCCTCTACCTGGAACTTGAGAACGTTGACCATGACGAGCCCCACCTGTTCCTTTTTGTCGATAAATTTTTCGGGTACTGCCTTTTACTTCTCCGCGGCTTTTTGTTTTGCTAGTTCCCTGCCTTTGATTGTTTAAATAACTACGAACAACCAAGGAAACAGCATGAGCCGAATAAGGTAATTGTCAAATTTCTGAATTCAAAGGTAAATTACCCACTATTTCTTGTTTTTGATTAATTATATTTATTTCTGTGCTTATATTCATATGTTAATTATTAAAATTAGTTTTCGGAACAATTTCAGTTCTCGGTTCGGTTTGTTGCTGTTGGTTTTCTAATTGGGTTAATTTTTGTTTTAACTCTTTAATTTGTTGGTCTTTTGTTTGAATAGTTTGCTGTTGTGCTAGTTGTTCGAAATCTTGGTTAGTAATGTCGGTTTGAGTTGCTTGGTCTTTGGTTTCTTTGGGTTGGTTTTCTTGCTCTGCTATCTTGTTAACTACTTCTAGGCTTTGTTTTAATTCCTTGTTTTCCTGTTGATAAACTTGTCTTTCCCGGTTAAGTTTTAAATAATCTTTTTCAAACACTTTGAGGATATTCTTTAATCTAGTATTTTCTTGCGGTGGATTGTTCTGGTAAAAATTATCCATGGCTTTCATGCTATCTTGGTGGATTTCTCTTTCTTGTTCCACTATCTCTTTTAAGATTTTAATTTGGGTTTCTAAACGAACTATTTTTGCTTCTTTATTAGGTTCATTTTGGATAATATAATTTAAGGCTTCTTGGCTTTGTTTTATTTTATTTTCCAAGGCAGTTAATCATTTTTCTTTGCTGTTGGGATTGGTGAATAATTCCGGTCTAGCAATTAGCATTTTTTCGGAGTGGGCTAATTGTCAGGCTGCTATGTCGTAGTTAAAGGGTCTCATTTGGTCTTGGATTTTGGCTACTTTTTGGTTGGGGAGTTTGGGGGAACAGTCAAAACTGCTTGGTCTTTCAATACTAGTCGGCAAATATTCCAATCCTTCTTCAACATCAGTGCCATCAATACACAATCCTTTTAATTTAGTCATGTCCCTTAATGGTTCTAAACTGCCATAGAAACGATTGAGGATGTTGTTTTTTGGGCTGTCATTTCCCAAGGCTAGTTTAAAAGTAAGATTAATAAAAGGTCGCAAAAACTCCAAATTAGTTGGTTCAATATTGTTATTGGCAAGTCCTAATCTAATTAATTTCTCGGGTTGAGGTAGTTGTTTTAAGAAGTCTATGGAGGTCAGTTGATTACCGGGGCAATAAAGTTCAGTTAAATTAGGACACTTGGATAAATCAATGGAGGTCAGTTGATTATTGTAGCAATAAAGTTCAGTTAAATTAGGACAACCCAACACATCAAGGCTGGGGAGTTGATTACGGGAGCAATTAAGTTCAGTTAAATTCGGATGATTTCCCAAAGTTAGTTTAGTTAGTGAGGATCTTAAATATTCTGAAACACATATTTTCTCTAAACCCACATATTCACTCAAATCTAATTCTCCTCCTTCTAGTCATTCAGTAATGCCTTGGTTTTTTCTTTCTTGGTTAATTTTTTTAGTATCAATCACCCTCACTCTCTCTTTATCCTCCTTAGCTGGATACTTTCAATTTAAATATTCTTGTAAAGTTGTCATAATAGTTATTGTTATATATTAATTTTTAGGTTATTTGGAAGGTTTTTTTTCAATCTTTTTCGTTTGTTTGAGTTACCATAATAGTTATTTTTACTTGTTAAGGGTCTTTCCGGCTTTTAATTTAATTTTTTCCTCCTGGTAATAAACTCCTTTGAGTTTGTAAGGACGATGCCGGCGTAATTTTCTTATTTGGGCGGCAAATTGCCCGACTTTTTCTTTATTTACTCCACTTTGGCTTTTTTCTGGTTTCAAGTTTGCAAAACAAATCTCTGTTCTTATTTCTTTTCTTTCTGCTTGCGAAACTCGACTTTGAACTTTTTTGATAGTGATTTCAGACTTGGTTTTTCTAGTCAAAACCTGATTTTACCATGGAGTCTCACTCGATATTTTTGTTTATTTTGGCGGTAAAAGTTGATTATATTGATTGCTCGTAACTGTCATTATAAAATTATCTTTAACTTTTTTGCGGCTTGAATTAAATCAATTGGTTTTTCTTTCCGAACACTTCAAATAAATCCTTGGTCTTTTTGGTATTTAGGAATAATATGTAAATGAAAATGAAAAACGCTTTGATAAGCCTCTTCATTCATGTTAGTAATAAAATTAAATCCGTGGGGCTGAAAAGTTTTTTGTAATTTATTAGTTATCTTTTGAAAAAAAGGAAAAAGGTTGCTTCAGTTGCTTTGTTCTAGTTTAGTGATGTTTTCAACATGATTTTTAGTAATAATTAAAGTATGTCCCTCACTAGCAGGATTAATGTCTAAAAAAGCTAAACAATTTTCGTCCTCATCTACGATGTAAGCAGGTATTTTTTTTTGAATAATTTGACAAAATAGGCAACTCGACATATTGATTATATTTTTGAAGCGAAAAAGAAAATAAATTCGCAATTTTTAATTCTTTTTAACATAAATTTTAGCCACAAATTGCGGAAATTCTTTTTGCTCTTTTAATTGAAAGTCTTTAATTATTGTTGGAAAAAAATCTAATTTAATATTGCCGGGATACTTTTTTTTAATTAGAGAAATAAATAATTGGTCAGCAAAAGAATAAGTTTGATAAAATATCTCTTTGCCACCGATAATAAATAACCGCTCAGGTTTGTTAGTAAATTGTTGAATGGTTAGAGAAAGGTTATTTTCTATTACTAACTGCGGATGTTTTAATTTCATCTTTTTTGCCCATTCTTGATTTTTGGTAAGTATAATATTGTGTCTTTTAGATAGAGGTTTACCAATACTTTCAAAAGTTTTTCGACCCATTAATATAGCGTGTCCTTGAGTAATTTGAGCAAAATATTGCATTTCTTCTTTAATTTTTCAAGGCAAAGAGTTATCTTGACCAATTATGTAATCTTCAGTCATGGCTCAAATTAGGTTAATCATTTTTGCTAATCTTTTTGAACGAAAGCCATGGCATTTAAGTAAGGCATTTGCTTAAAACCACCATAAATGCTTCTCAAGAAATAAGTAAATTTGTGCTCTTCGTCATGTTTAATTTCTAACTTTTGGAATTTATACCAACCAATCAGAGTTTTTCGATCCATGACAATAAACTTAAAATTGTTTTCTAGAGGAGCAATAATTACAGAGTAAAATTGTCCCCAAATCCTGCGAAGTGGCAGAGGAAAAGTTTTGCCGTCTTTATAATGTCTCTCTTCTTCCTTATATTCTTCTAATTCAATTTGCTTATGTAGTGAACTATCAATAATTAATAATTGTTCATTTTCGGTGCAGGAAGTATTTTGCTTGTTTCTATTTCAACTATGGGAATTATATTGCATTAATAAACTAGTATCAATTATTCATTTAAGCACTTGGGCATTTTTTTGAAAATCCTTGGAAACTTTTATTATTCTTGCTTTGCTAGCATAATTATCAATTTGGCAAACCATTTCTTTAACTTGTTTATCAAGAAAAAGGAAAGCATCCTTTTGAATCTCGATTTGAACATTTTCAATTAAACTTTGCAATTTGTTGGGGCTTTCTACTGCCATTTTTAAAATATCTTTCTGTACTACTTGATAGAAATGTTTCTTAAAAGTTAATGGAACTATCTCTTTTTTTAAGTCTTTGCTAGGTTCGAACTTATCTTTATCTATTTTTTTCTCTCAATTGATTTCTTGTTTACTAACAAAAGGATTTTTATCTTCTTCAATGTCTTTAATGATATTTACATAAGGCAAAAACTTTGTTTGGTAAAGTTTGTCATTTTCCATAATTTTATTTTGTTTATAATAAGATTTTTCGCTAACAAAAGGGAGAACTTCTTCATTCTTTGCCATTCTATATTTATCTGCTTCTGCTAGCGAAAAGTCTAGGCTATTTATTTTTTCTAAGTTTGAGAAGTTTTTGAGTCTCAATTCTTTTAAATTTATTGTTTTTAGTTTTGCCATGTATCTGAATTTCTTATTTATAAGATTTATTTCTTTTTCTTACCACCACATACGCATTTGCTTTGTTTCTTATTACAATTACCACAAACTACTCTTCTTTGTCCCATATAAAATTTTTAGTTAAAAAGGAACAAACATTGGCTTGCCTTATAACGCTAATCCGGTAGAGAAAATTAAATATAAATTCTGCGAGGATATTTTATGCTATAAACAAAAAAGAAAACTACCCCCCCCAGGAAAAAATCATCCTTTCTTGTTGACCAATATATTCTGTTAATTTCAAAAAAAATCGTGCAGACCAATTAATTTTTCTTATTTTCGTGGTGGCAACTACTAAAAAACAGTTAATGAAAATTTTGGCAATTGGTGATATTTTTGGCAAAATAGGAAGAAAAATCATTAAAAACTACTTGGACGAAATTAAACAAGAATACCGAATTGATCTGGTAATTGCTAATGTTGAAAATGCTACCCATGGCAAAGGAATTTCTTTTAAACACTATCAAGAATTAAAATCTTACGGCATTGACATAATGACTTCAGGCAATCACATATTTCATTTAGAAGAGACCCAAAAAGATATTGATGATAAATTTTCAGACTTAATCAGACCACTCAATTCTAATCCCTTCCATCCAGGCAAGGGAACCATTTTAAAAGAATGAAAAAACAAAAAAATTCGAATTACTAACTTAATTGGAATTACTTTTATGCCCCCTGCTGAAAATCCTTATTTTGCTTTAGAAAAACTCTTAGAAAATGACGATTCTGATATTCATTTGGTAGATTTTCATGCTGAAGCCACTGCTGAAAAAGCAGTATTTGCTTATTGTTTTGCTGGACAAATTACGGCTCTGTGAGGAACCCACACTCACGTCCAAACGGCTGATGAAAGAATATTACCTCCCGGAACCGCATTTATTACAGATTTGGGAATGACCGGACCCAGTGAAGGAATTATTGGTGCTGAACCAGCTGGAATTATCCAAAGAAGTAAATACAACTTGTCTTCGCCAATGCGTCCTTGTGAAAAAGGTCAAGGGCAATTCAATGGCTTGGTATTAGAAATTGATGATAATAGTAATAAAGTAATTTTTCTTCAAAGAATTTTTAAGAATGTTTCCTTATCCTAATTAAAGTTCAAATGAGGCTTCCTAAAAATATAGCAACAAAAATCCCCATCAAAATCAGAAAAATAATCATTCTTTTTCTTTTCCGCTTTCGGTAGCAAGAAGTGCAGATTCAAAGAAAAGCAGCGTCTCCGCTACTTCCTCAACCGCCACCTCCACCTCAGCCTCCTCCATATCGACCGCCACCAACTCCTCAGCCAAGTCCATCTTCTCTTAATCTTACTTCTCTACCTTGAGGAATGTCTCGACCACAATCAAAGCAAACTTTCTTGTTCATATTCTAAATTTTACTTCTGTTTTTAGTTAAAAATACTTATTATGATATGCTTCTCAGCAAACTCTCTCTCTCTCTCTCTTTCTCATAATATAAGAAAAAGTCTTTCAATTAATTTTCCTTATTGGTGCTTTGTTGGTGTAGTTACGGTTGGCTTAACAGTTTTAGCTTTCCGTCAGCAAAAAGAAAAAATAATTCATTCTTGAAAAAAAGAAAAATGGAAAATTATTGGCACCACTCTATTATACGTTTTTATCTTGTCTATTTTATCTGGCTTATTAACTAATTTGGCACGACATCTTTCAGGAGGAAAGCAAATTGAAAAGCCTCTTAACCAACAACTCTGAGAAGAACAACTTCAGCAGCAAAAATCATCCTTTTGGGGTCTAGCATTATTTGGTCTCCGAACTGTAATTTGGGCTCCTTTATTTGAAGAATTAGTTTTTCGTTGATTAGTTTTTGAAACCTTTGGAAAAAATTACCTCAGTGTTTTAATTTCTACTCTTACTTTCGGTTTTGCTCATTATCGAGGAGAACAAAACGTAATTCTTGTACTTCCTTATCTAATAATGGGATTTGCCCTTGCTTATATTTATCGAAAAAAAGATTGTAATATACTATGACCGATAGCTCTTCACTTTTCTAACAATTTAATAGTCTTCATTTTTTTTCTTGCTAGATTATACAGTCATTAAGTTGATTTTTTTGCTAATAGATGATTACAAACTCAATTAACTAGTTCTTCGTGTTTAATTACAAATTCTTTTTTTTCTTGACAGTCTTTTATTAATACTTCTTTTTCTTTTAGTTCTTTTTTTCCAATAATAACCGCCAAGCGAGGAGAGTAATAATTAATATTTTTGAAGACATTTTTGACTTTTTTAACTTCTAAGTTAGAGATGGTTTTATAATTTTCACTTAATTTTTCTCGCCAAGATAGAACTAATGGATGAGCTGCTTTTTCTAAAATCAAAAAAAAGATATCAGTTTTTAGACAATTTTTTTTATCCGTGATAGATAAGTAATTAACTAAGCGGTCGACCCCCAAAGCAAATCCGGCGGCTGGTAAATTAACATTGCCTAACTGCTGAAAAAGCTGATCGTATCTGCCTCCTCCTAAAACTACTTGCTCTTCGTCATTCAGCAAGAGTTCAAAAACCATTCCAGTATAATAGTCTAGTCCGCGCACTAAATGTTCATTATAAAAGTGATTAATTTCTAAATTATTTAAACTTTTGGTCAATTCTTCTAAATAAACCAAATCATTTTCTGTCAATACTTTTTTATATGAAGGAAGACCGTCTAAGTGACAAGTTTTACAGTCCAAAATCCGTAAAGGATTAAGTTGATAACGTTTTTGACAATCGGAGCAAATTTGCTTATTTTTTAAATACTCTTTCAATATTGTTTTATATTTTTCTTTAGTTTCTGGTCTGCCAAGGTAATTTCAATGTAGGACAGTGTTTTTTTTTAAATCAAAAATTTTGATAATTTGCTTAATTAATAAAAATAGTTCTCCGTCTGCTATTATTCCTTCAGCATTAATTAATTCTATTCCTAGTTGCCAAAATTCTCGATAGCGTCCTTTTTGAGGTCTTTCGTAACGAAACATGCTTCCTCAATAATACAATCGCAAGGGATATCCAGGATCAACTAATTTGTTTTGACAAACTAAGCGCACAGTGCTAGCAGTTCCCTCCGGACGCAAAACTAGTTGCCTTCCTTTACGGTCAGAAAAAGTAAACATTTCCTTTTGGACAATATCGGTAGTTTCACCAACGGAAGTAGTAAATAATTCTCGGTGTTCGTAAGTAGGTAAAATAATTGGTTGATAACCAGCATGATTGAGAATATTTTGAGTAATTTGTTGAATTTGTTGGTAAAGAAGTGCCTGGGTTGGTAAAATATCTTGGGTGCCACGAACTTTGGCTAATAATTTACTTGATTTTTCGGTCATTGATTAAAATTTTACTCTATTCAATTTTTATTTTGTACTTTTTCGTCTCTTTGCTCTCTCTCTCTCTCTCTCTCCAAAATAAATAGCCAATTAAAACAAGACCACTAAGTAAAAATGCGCCAAAAACAATTAATTTTGTGGGAAAATTGCCTTTGTTGTTATTGTCTTGGTTAACTGTTGGTTGTTTTTTGCTAGTATTTTCTTTTGTTTGCTGTTCCTCTTTTTGCGGAAAAAAACGAAAATTTTGGTGTTCAGCAGCAATTTCTGTGGCAATTTGTTGAAAAGTTTCTTTGCCGGCTTTGGCATCGCCTTTAATATCAATTTTTTTTCTTTCTGGTGGGTGACTTAATATATCGTGGACGCCAGTAAAAACTTCATTCAGTAATTTTCTATTTTCGGGTTTGTTTAAGTCAATTTCAATTCTGGCGACTTCTTCTTTCACTTGTTTAACAAAATTTTCTCACCTTCCTTCTAATATTTCATTAATTTCGAATAAATAGTGTTTTAATTTTTTCGGGCAATTGTCAGCGTCAATTTCAACTGCATTTATTCACTTATAATACTCCTCTTGGATTTTTTTGCGAAAAGGTTCGTTTTTGTCTTTAACTGACGCTGCTGTGATAAACAAATCAGTTAAAAACACGTCTTCAAATACTTCGGCTGTGCTATCACTGTCAGCAATCGATTTTCGGTAAATTTGTCTTTTACTTTCTCAATCAGAATAATAACCCATTTTTCCAATATATTCTTCCAATGGTTCAAGCGTATTATAAAAAGTATCAAGCACTGTCCGAAATTCATTTTCTTCTTTATTCATAATAGTTAAAATTTTATAATATAATTAAGTTTTTTGTTTTCCTTATTATGAAGCCATAAAATTTTTAAAAATCTTTTCTGCTCGTAAATCTTTTTGGAGGTAGCCTTTGGGGGTGAAAAAAACTCCTTCTTTGGCTAATTTCTTTTTTTTGATATTTAGTTCTTTTCCGCGATAACCACCAAGAAAAAAATTTGTTTCAATCACCCGGTGGCAAGGAACTACTGCGGAAGCAAAAGGATTCTTTCGTAAAGCTTGCCCTACTGCTCGGGGAGAACTCCGCAAAATTTCGGCAATTTTTTTGTAAGTTGAAACATAGCCGGGGGGTATTTGGGTACAAAGTTGGTAAACTTGAAACTGAAATTTAGTGAATTCTTTTTGCTTATCCATGTTATGTAATTTAGTTTTTAATAGCATTTTTTCTAAACTAACCTCTGAACCAAGAGCAATTTTTATTATTTCGCAGCAAAAAAAGCCTAAGTTTCAATCATTATTTTAATATCTATAATACATTCCTGCTGACTTGTCTTTTCCTTTTATGCGCAGCATTTCCTTGAGGAATTTACTCATTTCTTTTTGTTGGAGACCCTGGGCTCGGTTATATTCAAATGTATATTTTATCGCTTTTTTGAAATCTTCATTATTGATAGCTTTTCTTCCCCGCGAATAGGCAATGGCCGGCGCCTCTTTGTAAATTATTTTTCTGATGTCGGCTCCGACAAATAAAGGACGAGGAGGAACTTCTTCTTCGTCAAATACTTTTATTCTTTTCATTCTTCCTGTTTTCTCATCAAATTCTCGACCTCCAACTAATTCGTTTGGGTCTATTTCGTACTCTTTATTTTCGGTGATTTCTTTAAAAATAAAAGCTGAAAATTCTTTCACAAAAACTGCCTTATCTTTGTTGCCAAAAAGCCCGGGTCCATCTGGGTGAACTTCGTCATAAAATGAGTTTAGAGTGGTTTCAACAATATCTTTTAATTCATCTTTTTCCGGAAAAGTAATTAATAATTTTTTGCCAAATCTTTCCGAACGAAAGAGAGCTAAATCAATTTGTTCGGCTTTGTTAGTAGCGGCTATAATAGTAATGCCCAGATATTTTTTCTTATCAATCCCATCCATAATGGTGTTTCATTCTGTGCATTTTTCCCTACTTTCTTCGCCCTCGCTCATTTTTTCGAATTCGTCAATAAATAAAATACAGGGTTCGCCTTTGGTTTCTTTAACTACTCCGCTCAGAAACAGTTTTATCCTTTCCTCTTTTTCTTTTCGGTCTTTACCAGCAAATTGTCCACCAGTCGCGTAAGCAAAGAAAGAACCCGAATCCTTGGCTACCGCTTGGGCTAGTAAAGTTTTGCCAGTGCCGGGTGGACCATAAAGGAGCACATGTTCGGGTTCGATGGGAAATTTTTTGTTTTTTCTCTTTTCTTTAATTAATGCTACGTTTAACTTCAATCTGTCTTTGGCAACTTTTAAGCCGCCAATTTGGCTTCAAGTAGTTTTAACATCTTGGGAATCAATAATATATTTTTTTCTTTCTTCGGCCGCTTGCTTTTTGGCTTCTTCCTCTTGGGCCTGTTTCTTTCTCGCTTCGTTTTCGCCCGACAAAATATCTCCAATTGCCGTGTCCGGAAACTGTTTGCCCTTTTGGTATCTATTTCAGAAAAATCCAACACTCGCCACCACTAATACCAGAGCCAAAAACTTTTGCCAAGTAAAGAAAGTTCTTTCTCGAAATTGAACATTAGTTTGGGGCAAATAGTCTTTGAATTTATTAGCCATTAAATAATCTTGTAAAGTTTGCTTATGCGAATGGAGAATAAAAGCAATTTGTTTAGTGTTTTTTTCTTTACTTTTTAAAGCAATCATTCCCTTTAAAGAAACATAAGAAGAACCCCGAAAGCCAGTTATTTCTAAATTATCAATTTTTTCTACGGTGTAGTTAGTTTTTTCATCTAATGAATAGTTTTTGTTTTGAAAGATTTGGTCTTGCTGACTAGCTGGAATTTCAATTCTAACTAACCATTCAACTAATTTTCCGGAAAGATAAAAGTAGGTGAATATTAAAGCAAAAACAAAACCAATTACTAAAGCGATGCTTAACAAAGTATCAACATTTTTTGTGCTTCATTCGCGAACATACATTCTAAATACCTGGGTGGGAGTTTGCTTAGAAAACATATACTCTGACTTCCAAATTAGCCAAGCCAAGAATCCTCCTCCGATATAACGGAGCAATTTTATCGATCTGACAACTCAGACATTACCGAATAAGGCAATTTTGATTTTATTGATTTGATTACTTAAACTCATATAAGGATTTTTAGCACTTTTTATTTGCCCTAATTCCCCCTTTTTTTTTTTTTACAAAATTTAACTCTCTCTCTCTCTCTCTCTCTTGGTTTTTCATATAAATTACACCAATTTTTATTTGCTTAAAAGGAGACACATTTTGTTAAATTTTATGCGACTTTTCATTCGTCTATATGCAAAAAACATATGAACGAAAAAGTAAATCAGCTCTCTGAGCCTCTC